ACGCTTAACCGTTGCTATTCTATTATTCACCAAATCCACTGCTCTTTTGTGGATATCATGGTCTCTTGGAGTAGATACTTTTGCTAAGCATCTACTTGCTTGATTCAGAGCATCAAGAGCTTTTTCATAATTTTGGAATTCATCAACTTCTACTTGCGCACAAGCAACATAGAAATTGGCCAATAGATCCATTGCTTTCCCCTTGGAGTAAAAGTTAATTATATTCTTCAATACTTCGGGTTGATTTTGCCAATCTAATGATTGCAAATAATTCCCAGCCATGATATAGATCTCTCTTTGTCTGGAAACTTGAGCAAAGAAACAAATTTTTTCTGTATCACCAGATTTTAGCAAAGCTTTCATGGCTCTCAGTTTATTACCAGCTTGAGTGAACTTTTTGGTTGCTAAATGATAGTTCCCTTGCTCAAAAGCTATTTCACCTATCCTTTCTAATATAGAGATTCGTATTTTTTCATGATCTACGTCGTCAACTTTATCTAATGTCATCTTCTCTGCTAAATCTTCACTCAGTAAAATATTATGTTTTTGTATCAATTCCAAAGCTTCTAAGTATTTTCTTCCAGTTGCAAGTAGATCTACTGCTTTTTCAATCTGATCATTTTGAACAAAATAATCAGCGCATTTTTCTATCAAAGCAGGATCAGAATCCGCATTGACATCCATAATAATCAATTGCAAAGCACTATATTGTTTCGTCTTAAAAGCAATGTCCAGCGCCTTGTGCAATAAACCAGCTTTGTGATATAACAAAACTGCTTTATCCAACTGATCGTTTTCTTCATAGTACTTGGCAACATCTATCTGCGATTGCCTTGGAGCTAATACAGCCAAGGGCCATAGTTCTTCAAACATATCGTGTTCTTTGCACAGTCGAATTGCATTTGTGTAGGCTTTAGCAATGGTATAGAAATGAATAGCTTGAGCCACATTATTTTTTGATTCATAGTGCGCAGCTAAATGATACGCGGAGGCAGCATGATTAGTTCGCGATACCAATTCACTAACTTCGTCTTCTCTACCAAAATAACAGAGTAATCTGGTCATTGCTAGAGTATTTTTAGCTTGTTCATACAATTTCAATGCTCCTTCCATGTCTCCGGTTGATTCTATATACTGTGCATGCCAATTCTTTATTTCTGGGTCCTCAGAATTATTAAGATATGTTAATAGTTCCCTGGGTCTCACAAGCAACATCCTTGGTACTTCAAATCGGTGGCATTCTGCTTTAGTGTACATCTCTATAGCTTCCACTATTTTACCTTCTTGCTCGAGAGCCTTTGCATAGTTGTAATAACTAGTTTTTTCGCAAATTTTATTCTCATTCTTTGCTAACTCTATAGCTTCTTTAAATTTATTACGCGCTTCGAAAAGCTTGCCTAATAGATCCAGTCTTTTCGCCTCGCGAAAAAGTCGTTCAGCATCATTATATAATCCTAATTCCACCGCTAATGTACCTACTTTGGCTTCCAAGTTTAAACTATCATCTTGCATAGCTTCTCTAAGAGCCCTGGCTGCTCTGGCTTGTTTCATGTGACCCAAGCACAAAAGCGCCATGTTCAATTGCTTTGTTTTCACGCACATTCTTGCTAAACTTTTCCAAATACCTTCATTTTTAATGGATTTAATCGACTTGAAAGCCTCCTCCATATTAGCAACGCTGATATGAAAACTGAAATCTAATACAGCTTTCTTTGTAACAGGATCACATAAACCTAGTTCCTCAAAATCTCTCATGAGCAATTTCGTTACTTTACTGGTCTTCTCTGCTGTTTTCTCAGAATTTAAAATAATAATATGTGGAGAATGAACACCTAGAACTCTACAATTTTCATCTTTAATAGGTTTAATATCCTGAACGACAATTCCATGATCCGATGTAGCAAACATTGATACCAAAACCACAGTAGCCTTTGAAACGTCGTAATCGTCTTCATTGTCTTGTTTTGAGTACTTGGAGTCGCGTGTCTCCAATTTTTGAGCTCGACATACTAATAATCTAGGATCTTCTGCATCCCAACAATGAGCAGTAACCAGTCTTCCTCTACATTTTACAGATAAAGCACTATCGTCTTCATCTATATCGTTAGACTCGGCAAAGTCGAACTCATGTATCTGATCACTTTCTATATCCCAGACGTACAAAATAGAACTGGGCATCAAGTTCGCCATTGCAACAGTGATAGACACGCAACGGCAATCAGCGTTGCACCGTGCCTCGATGATCTCAGCAAAATCACTGATCGCTTCATAAGTTGCCATTGCTCTGGTATGCAGCTTCGCTTCTCGTTTACTTAAATCCCAAATTTTTAAGATACCATTTAAAGATGCGACTGTTAAATATTGTCCAGTGAGATCCATAGTAATTGGTTCGCCCTCTTCTGATAACGTGGGTAGCGTTTGAATGACATTACCCTCCATTGACCGTAATTGTATGACTGCAGGAGTTAAAACGATCAAAGTGTGATCATAAATCAATACTTTCTCAGTGTCACAGCTGAAATTGGCGATTGCGGTAGTATACAAAGATGAATCATCGTGAATTCTATAGACCACAACCAGTCTACCAGAAGAAACAGCGATGTATTCTTTATTAACAGCAACAAGTTGTACTTGAATATCAGTTTTCAAAGTGTAATTCTGCTCATTAAATTCTATTAATATTTGACAGGGACTGAGTTGACTAGCACAAACACCATCGTTATGTGTAGCGCACATTGGTTGTTGATATAATATAAAAACGTTAGTAATACAATTTACGGCAAGAAGTGGACTCCTTAAGAAAAAAGCACCCCATGTAAGCTGTTTTACTGTTCCATGTATGCTACAAGATTCTGGGACATTGGGCCAACCATTTTCATCGCAGTCCGTTTCAATTTTACGTCTCCATAAATAAATCGTTCCTAAGTTTGTTCCAGCAGCCAAAGTACCTGTACAATATTGAAGTTAACAATTGAATAATGTATTCCTATATAAGTTACATTGTAAGAAAAGTGTTTATGTTACCGTTATTTTTACAAAAAGCTATGCTTGTGCAGATTTCCTGTGGTGTAGCCATGTTCCCAGTGGATGAATCTGGCGGAGATAATACGTAACTATCACTAGTGTGAAGATCCCAACAGCGAACACCCAACTCTCCTGTAAGAATTGCTAAAGTATTTGCTCCAGCCCAACACATTGCTGGACCAGTTCTCAATATGTCGTATCTACTGCTAAGTCTCACCTCAACAAAGAACAGTTTCATGAAATTTACGTATTAGATTATAGCAAAATAATAAATGAAATAAAGTGTAGTTACTTTTGTTAATTCGGTCAGTCGGCCAGTAATAGGATCTGTCTGAAAATGTGCTATATTTAAACCTTCTGTCATAACAACTAGAGAATCTCTAGTTGGATGGTGCAATAGGAACTGTAATGCAGCACCATTCGTGTTCAGGATTTCTGTGCACTGTCCTTGGTTATCAACAAAGTATATCAAACCGCTAGTGGTTCCAATATAAAAGGCATGGTTTTCTCTTTGCGTTACTACTGTTGTGGGTGCAGCTGTCCTGGGACGCCAAGAGCTGAACATATCTAATGCTCTTTCATCTCCCGCAACTGCAGCTTTTGCTAGACCACTGAAAGCAGTATAAGTTCTATAATTAATTTTGTCAATATATATTATACAGGGTGGTTGGTAACTAGTGGTACAAGCGGAAAGGGGGTGATTCTACGCGAAAAAAGAAGTAGGAAATATAGAGTACAAATTTTTTTTTATTTTTTTTTTAATTTTTCCATCGAAACAACGATCTACAGTAAGATCCGTTATAACGTACCGCATGCGTACCGAGCGAAAATTCAAAGTCGATTTTCTCGAAAACAAAGCCTCAAACGAAAAATTTTTATTCTATATTTTCGACTTCTTTTTTTCGCGTAGAATCACCCCCTTTCCGCTTGTACCACCAGTTACCAACCACCCTGTATATTAGTTTTATATCCACCTTATATCTATCATTGATTTTGGTGGAATAGTTTTGAATACTATTTGTGTAAAAGAATCCTTCAGTTCATGGTGAAACATCATTAACAATTGACCTCTTGAGTCAATTTTCCAACCAACTATGGATCCAGCTGAATCTGCTGACACCAATCTTCCCCCATGTTGACTCCATTGCAGAATTATAATAGGATCATGATGTGGTGTGACTACCAAATTAAATTCTGTGCTACCAGTATCACCTGGCCATATCTAAATGATAATTTATAGTAATATATTTACACTCCTATCATCCTGGAGCATTTTTATTAAATTTAAATGATTACTAACCCGCAATTCTCCGCTTTCCCATCCTGCTGCAAGCCATCGCTTTTCTGGATGCCATCCAAGGCCAGTCACTTGAGCTACTGAATGTCTAGGTGATTCTACATCCTGAGTAGGTTCTCCCTGATCGTCATAAATTGTCACGAAACCACCCTTATCCTGAGAATACGCTGCGACAGCCAGTAGTGGATAATTTGTATGCCAAATTGCGTGAGTACTGATAGAAGCTGTTTCCGGATTTTGTACGCGCGTATCGAAGTAGAGCGACATTATTTTATTCTTACTATCAGTATTGATGTCATAAGTAATATCTAAACTGACATAGCTGTTTCTAAATTCATTAATAAAAACTACTTTTTCAAAAAGATGGATTTTTGCAACTACGTATTCATTAATTCTTCCTAAAGCTTAATTTTGTAAAAAATATTTTAATCATGTTACTGAGAACTTTGGTATACATAAATGTTAAATAATAGTTTGATATCTATTAAAAATGTTGATTAACATAAAGTTTACTGTCACCTGTCACATTTGACAACTCAGAACTAGTTTACAAAGTGTTGCCATAGCAATATGAAAGGCTAACGCCATCTCTTGTATTATCAATTTAAGCACTTACTACCATCTATTAGGAGTTAATAGAAATGCTTAAATACCGGGAACATTTAAAAAAATACACATCGTTTCTTGTACCCTTTATTAAGAACAAACATATATATAATTTACAATTATATAATTATATTCTACTATAAACTATTACGAAATCACTACGCTATAAGCTCGACTCAAATTTCTTCATATTAAGTACTTGATCTTCAAGAATAGCTATTCTCTAAAATTTGTAATAACCATTATTATTATCTTACTGCGTATATTTTTAGATTACTTTTAAATAAAATTTACGGCGCTCAGTACCATAAGATACTCCTGAATTTTAGATTCTGACATTGCTTCTGTTTCTGCCAAAAGCGTTTTATATCGCTCCTCTAATATAGAAACTATATTATCCACTTCATTTTGCTTCTTTATACTCAGAGATGTGTACAATTCATTTTTTTGTTTTTGCAGTTGTAAATGCAAGGCTTTTATTTCCATATCTTTGTTCTATGATATAATACATGAAGTAGAACTAATTCCTAGTAATATAATATCTTAATTAATTTACCTTGATGATATGCGACAGTTTCTTTTCATAATCGTACTCGAGTCTCTCCTTCGATTTTTCTAGTTTTACAACAGCCTTTTTCAAAGTAGAAACTTCAGACATTAAATTTTGATTTTGTTTCTGAGTTTCATGATCCATTTCGATTCTCATTTTATTTAATTCTCCTTTCATCATTGTATATTGTTCAACTATCATTTTCTGTGATTTATCTTCCTGAGAGGAATACAGTACTAGTCAATAATATATTTAAGTATAAACGTATTGAAATATTCTATGATTTACAAAGAAATACATCTCTAAACTTCATTTCTAATTTCATTTCTAAATTTTGTATTTTATTAGTCAGTAATTCAATTTCTTCCTTCCTTCCTGCATCCTTTTTTGATGATTCTATATCTCTTTTTTCAAGTAAATCCTGTTTTAGTTGTAATTCTTTATTCTTCTCTTTTGTAAATGAATCAAATCGTTCACATATCATCTTTATTTTATCTAACCATTGTTGTTCCACTGCTTTACTTTGCTCATCCTTCAAAATATATCTTACAGTTCTCATTTTACAAATAAAGGTTCTACTTCTTACCTTACCATTGCTGATTTGTTCCAACTTTTTAGCTATTACAGCTACAGTATGGTCCAGAGCCTCGTTTCTCAATCGAGACTCGTCCAACTGTTGTTTTAAATCAGTAAGTTGTTTCACTACTATGAAATGATATTCTTGAACAGCCTCTTTGCAGCTTTCATCCATAGAATTTTTCAATTGTTCCATCTCTTTCAGCCTTTAACAATTTACAAACATTTAAGACTTATTGCTTCATCAAAATTGCATTTAATGACATACTAACTTAGCTTTTAAAGTAGTGACATCAGTAGTTAATTGACTAATACTTGAAGATAAGTAATCATTCACGTTTCTGTTGCGATTTTCTGGGTATTTTAACAATTGATTCCTTAGATATTCATTTTGAGCCTGTAATTCTGCAATAATGATTCTCAGTGTATCAATACGCCGCTCATAGGTTTTTAATCGACTTTTTGTTTTACTGTACTTTGATCATGATTCATAGCATGCAAACATTGATTCACTCTCGTGACGTCCATCATACGGTGTTTTAATGACGCTTTACTTCGCTGGTGTTGAGTACATTTTGCATGTGGCTTTAAATAAGTATGGTGAGATCTCATGGTATAGTCTGATAAGTTACTTACAGATGAGCTAATACAGACCTGTATTACATGTTAATTATTCTTTAATTACAATAAATTTCATAAATCGTAATATAGGTACCATATGATACGACTTAGGTAATGGTAGAAGAAATCCATTAGGTGGAGGTCTACTGAAAACTCCTCCAACATGTCCTGTCTTTAATTGCCTGAATAATTCCGTGAGATATTCGTTTCTTAAACGACGTTGCGAAGTAACAGCATTTAATTTATTAAGCCAAACTTTGCATAATTTCGCACTTTCAGTAGATGTTAATGCTAAAACAAAAGGTCTAACACGTGCTAAGGTTTCTTTGAAACATTCGTCCAATTTCATAGCTTCTTCCTCATTATACTCTCTAATTTTTGGCATGTTCTTTTATATCTGCCACTATTTCACTTGCTTGGCCAAAGGTAATATTTCATAAAAATTAGAGCAAGACATTTTTTGACAAGTCTTTGCCTTTTAACTGAACGCCGCTTTTGTTTTTTAACTGGATTACGGATGCAGATCCGCAGTGGCCATGGATCGTAGAAAAAGGTGAAAAATGAACGCAAAATATTTTTTTCTTTTTCATAATTGAGATTATTTTAAAAGTAATTTGAGTCGTACAAAACAAAATCACATATTACGTGATTATTACGTACACACACATAAGTATTTATTCATATCCATTATTAGTTATTATTATTTTTAATTATAATTTATCTGAGTTCAATCTATCACTGTATTTAATAAATAGTGTATTAGAGTGATAAGTATGTTCCAAACTATCAGACTAGTTTAAAAGTTTAGTAATAAAAAACAATCTATGAGATATATTAGGTATTGCATACAATTTTTTTATAGCTGATCAATATAAGTTTTGAAAAATTTTCAAAGAGATATCTCTAAATCGAGTACAAAAAATATTTGCACATACTATGGATATAATAAGAAACGCAGATAGTTAGAAGCATATGTGATAAGCACAATAGCCAAGAAATATGGTTATTGAGCTTAATTACATTACAATAATCCTTTCATAGCCAAGTATCACAGAACAGCTCACAAAATGACAAAGCTCAGTGACAATCATTGTCACAAGTTCATTCGTCCTTAAGCCAAGTATTAAAATAATCATTCCTTTTCTTATAAAATTATATCCTGTGCATATCGCACGGAGTATCACTCTTTAATATCTACTTTTACTTCGCTACACCTACTTACAAGATAAAATTTTACAATTTACTAAATAGTTTCGTACTTTTCATCAGCCTATCGTTCCGTATTCGTCTCCTGTATTGAAGTTGGTCATTGAGATCTAAAGCAGAAATCTGCAAATACTTATTTAAAATACTAAACTCGACTATTTATCTTGATTTGATTCTCCGTGGTTTGTTTTAATTCTATAAGCTTCCCTTTAATGGGCTGAATATTTGTACCTATCCATTCATCGATCATTGATGGAAAGAAAATGCTTTCCATCTGAAATCTTAAATATCCTTCTAAGGAAGATAATTCTAATAGTAGTCTGTAAAAAATATTTTCGATTTTATATCATTTTTGTTCAAATTGCTCTAAAATAAATAAACTTACTCTGTAAAAGCGGGCACTAGATTTTCTAACTGCATAGGGTTTGTGTAATTATTTGCGACTTGCCACGGATTCATCCATGTGGATATTCTGCAAATTTAATATACGACACTAGGTATTGTGGAATATGAGAAATGAAACATCATAATAGCATTTCTTACAACTCAACTTATACTTACTGCTCACTGGAAATAATATTATGAAATTTAGTTCGAAAATTTAAAAACCATTCTATTCCTACTGCAACTTGCCATCCAGGGAAAAGCAAATTATTAGGTATTGGAGCAGGTCTTGGTTGTGGTGTTATATGCAAAGGATGATCTATATATCCTAAATTCTTAGCCACTTGATTGTGAATTTGTTCAGAATAACCATGGAGCCAGACTTTCAAGCATAATGCTAATGATGGTATTGCAGTAGGCAATAGTTCACATAATGTTGCATAATGATCATACCTACAATCGAAAATCGATAAAATTCATTTAATCGTAAATTTGAAAAAAGAAATTACCTTGACCACCCAGTGAATACCGTTCCTCGAAATTCATGAACTTTATTCACATGTATACCTAATTCTTCTAACCACTTTTCATGATTACTTATATGGTGTCTTATAATTGGTACATGTTGGGAAGATCCAGTAGCACCTTTAAATGCAGTAGCCGCCCAAATATGGGGAAAAACTGCAGTATACTTATCCCACAGTTCTAATAAATATTACTTATGTAGTCTTACAATAACAAAATATGGTAAAATTAAATAATAGAAGCCTTACCATGAGGTAGAGCAAAATTATCTCTGGGATTATAGTGCCAGATCATAGGTTCCACATACTTCCCGATGTAATGATCTGAAATTTATAGGAAATGCTTTTATGAAATAATATGTGGCACGAAATAATATGAATAAATTATCGAGATACCGTTCAAAACCTGTAAATCTATCGTTCTTAACATATCATCCCATATGATAATCTTTAAGTAGGGATATGTTTCTTGTACATATTGTGCAATAGCCAAAATATGTTCCAGGTACAGAGATGGTTTTCCATATTTGCTAGATGCAGCACGTTTTATACAAACTGAGCAAAGACCTAAATGCCAAACTTCATCTGCACCTATGTGCAAATACTGTATGTCTGGATGAAAACTAACTATTTGACGAATCAAAGTCTTTACCAAAGACAATGTTCTTGGATTAGATGGACAAATTGAGCTTGGAAAGTGTTCCACTTCTCTCAAGGACCTCCATTCATCATGTTTCAAAACAAACTGCAATCATTTTAATATTAATTTCCAAATATTTATAAATTTTACAATTTCAGTCTAATTTTAGATACCTCCATATGACCAAATGTTTGTACTAATGGAACAACTGCTAAACCACAGTCTCCTGCAATTTGTAGGATATGTCTGGCCTCCTGAACCGTATATCCACTGATTAAACTGCTTAATCCATTGCTTCCTATATGAGAAAGCTCTCGATTGTATGGAAATGTGTCTTCCCATTCCAATAAAAGTCCAGTGGCACCCCATGTCCTTAATAATGGGAACAACTGTAATATTAATTACGAATTTTTAATAATTAGATTGTTTACTGATTGTTTTATTAAAAATCAAAATATCCAAACGTTATGCCGATAAGATATTGTATACAGTGATAACTACGTATATATATATAACGGTATGCATATATGAAAACTGTGCCGTGTTACGCATACGAACTCATTTAGAATGTAGATGTTTATCATATATGAAAAAAGCATCGATCATATGGAAAAACCAAATGCCAATAACATTCGAAAAGCTGTGGAAAAAAGTGGAACACCATTATAATTGTTTTTAAATGACACCTTTATCAAAGAAGAAATAGAGTGTAAACAATACGATTTGTTTATTCGGGTAACAGACCTTTTCGAAATAACAGACTCGCGGCGGAGCACCCTTGAGATCTAAGTGAACTAGCCTACAAAAGAAAGAATAAAATTCTGTGATGCAACACTTACTTAATTGAAAGTTTTTTGAATATTTATGCGAACCGATCGGCCGTTTACCTGTGAGAGCCGAACGTCAAGGCGTCCATCTTTCCTCCATTACTACAACGTTAATTGAAGAGAATATGGTATTAAATTCTAATTAACATTTTGACTTAAACAGATTTTAAGAAATATTTTTTTATTCTTTACCATCCATCCAATGCTCTTATTGTTTCGATATGCATTACGTATTTCTTTAATCTACTATGCGCGGGTCAGGATTTCAATTTGAACTTTGATTATCTCGAACGATATAGATAACAAATTTATCCGAAAATCTTGTTTAATAGTCTAATACGTAATTATAATTCAATGAAAAATATATAGCAAAAAATAGATTTTACTATAATCATATTTTATATAGATTGCTTCGAAATCATAATAAGATTGTATCATGTGTGATAAACTTATCTGTTATCTCTGTGTTTAGTATTTGATACAATTGATAGCAATGTTTAACTTTTAATTGAAACACGCAGCAGTGTATACAAATTAGAAAAAGTTGGAATGAATAAAAAAGAAATAAGTTTTCGACGAAATATATCTTTATTTCTGTATACATTTAATTCAGCCTTATACAAAATGTTAGAACTGCACGCGCAATATGAACTTCCAAAGGTATAGTACTATTGGTCATGATACATCATGAGAGTTGACGCCCAAGTGCAGTTATTACGACGCATACAATGATGTAATTTTACGACATTTTTCTTCATACATTCCCCTCGTAGTTTATTAAATAAAGTTAAGCATTTTGTTGTTTTCGTACTTAATTACACATTGAAACCTCTTTTGCGGACTTAACAATTCAACAGAATATCGTATATTCTTGTTACATACATACATATAGGTAAATTGTTCTTGAGTAAAACATTGTTATTAGATCGACACAATACAATATGCATATGTCTACGATCTTGTCCCACGGATGCTGTTCGGACATTGTCATCAATAGTTATTCTAGTTCACGTGTGTTTGTGGAAATATTATCAAACATTTCATTAATGAACACAATAATAGAAATCCATCACAAAATAGGGAACTACTACAACTATAAGCACGCAATTATGAACTACAAGTGCAATGAACACTTGGCACTTTTTGCAGGGTCTGTCATACAGGAAATTAACATAATATTATTGAAAGCTCTATGCACGGTTCTTTTTAACAGTTTCTTTCTTTCGCTCGAAATTCATTAAGTTCTAAATTAGTCTATCTTTTGTTCTTAAGAAAAAGAAAAACGGCCAACCAGAAAGAAATTTGTCAAATAGTGATTTTTGTTTTATTTTACACAGTCGTGCGAAATAATTCGCTTGTATATGGATAATATTATCCCTCTTTCTTGCTATATGTTATTTCATTTGTACAAAATTGAATCACCAAGGGATGACTTACACGAGGAATCATGTGAATAAAATGGTGGCTTCTTAATTTAATCTTTACTAAAGATCAAACTTATTAATTAGAATATTCTCGAATCGTGTGACTCATCCTTGGTGTCTCATGTATACAAGTGTCAGGACAGGAATATAATAACAGTCAGCGATATACAAAAATGCGATCGGTCGTTTAAAAAAATTGAGCTAATCTTAAAATTACACTTATGTTACTTTAGGACACGAATAGAGAAATCGGTCACCGTGTGCGCTAGCCTAGATTTCGTCAAACACAACTAAGACAACGGTAGAAAGAGAAAATAGAACATAATAGAACGAACACAATTCTTTTACATTTTTCGCATTTCAAAAATAGATAATTAAAGATTAACATAACAAATATCTATTCTAACACAGCGACAT